ACTCCCAGAATTCCCCAGCCAGCAGATGCTGGCTGGGGAATTCTGGGAGTTGAAGTCCGGACATCTTCAAGTTGCCAAGGTTGAGAAACACTGTGTTAAGTAGATGATCATGTCAACATGCCCAATTTTACAAGCTTCTTGGCGGTGGGCATCAAGTGAACATGGCAGTCATTAAGCAAATGTGGTCGTTAAGAGAAACCCTTTATCCAACGGCCAGTTTTTTGCTGGAAACCGGAAGTAAATGTCAGAAACCAGCAAAAAAAAACATGATGATTGTGATCATGTGACATTGCAAATGGCCATAAAGGTGATCTAGTTGCCAAATGCCCAATATGCAGTGGCATGACCATGGGGGGAAGGGGTTGTGTAGCTGCCATAACTTCAAAATTGGATCATAAGTAACTTTTGGAGAGACTGTCATATCTTCAAGTGGTTGCTAAGTGAGGACTACTTGTAATTTTAAAAGTATGTAAACTTTTTACACTTTTTTTGTTTTGTTTTCCATTTCCCTCTCAAGGAACAAGATGAGAAAAGAATCAAAACCGAAGCCAAAGAAGTGTAAGTACTGTAAACTGGACACTTAAAATCTAAGGTACTTTCCTCTCCACGGCTTAGTAGCAGTTACCTAAAACAATGATCCCAAAGATGAATATGCTTGAAAGCAAGTTGCCTTTTTTATCGAGAGTGAATCATCAGGCAGAATTCAGTGTTAATTAAATGCAGCATCCATGGAAAAAGGGTCAGTGATAAATGGGGGGGTCAGAGATTTCCGATTCTGTAAGGCAGGTAGCAATTCAAATATTGCTTGTTCTTCATTCTGTGGATTTCATGGCCTTGTGATCTCTAGGTTTATAAACCCACATTTCCTAGAATCGTTAGTCCTGTTAGAAAGGAATTATTGGCGTTTTAGGCCCAATCTCATTGAGATTCTTGATCACAAAGGCTGCCGCGTTTTCTCTTTTTCCTATCAAGATGCAATAGATACATGCTTTTTGTATGTGATCACAGTCATCTAGTCCCTGTCATATCNTTTTTCTTTCTTGACTTAAAATGTACAACTCGATTTGAATGAAGTATATGTAAGGATGGTGGAAGAAACGCACAGAATATATTTGTAAGCAATCGATAATGCTTTCTACAAGGTGTAACGAAAGATGATTCTTTTTTGTCTGTGTGTTTTTGTTTAACTTAAACAATAAAAAACATTTCAAAAAAATAAATCTTCATGCCAACAAGATGTGAAGACATTTTACAAGACATTAAATAATTGGGCCTTTCAGTTTCATAAATGCACAATTGGAAAGGAAAGTTAGGAACTTTCAAAGTGACACTTATTGTAATATACATTGCTTATGTTATTTGGGACAGAAATTCAGAAGTTGTTGTTCCACTTAAAACGTGAGATTTCAGACTTTTCAAGAGCCAGCCAGAGACGAAGTTCACACTTAAGTCAAGGCCATATTTGGAGACTGAATTGAAAAACTGATAACTTCCAGGTAGACAAGGAAGCATTTTCAGATTTCTAAAGCAAGTATATGCAATCTCTTTTGGACCAAGGCTATATAGTTGCACTTTGAGTGCTCTTATAGTTCCCTACTCCAAGGAGTGGGCGAGACCACTCATGAATTTCAACTAGGTACAGTTCACATCATTTCCCATGTGTCTCATCATTTGTACCACATTAAATATTACCGCGTGGTGGCAATTTCAGGAACCATGCAGCATAGTTAGATTGTGCGCCTTTTGTCCTAAAAAAAGGAAAGGCTGAGAAAATAACACTACACAATGTTGTATTTACTGATGGACATATATCTGGTTTGATAATTAAGTTATAAAAATTCAGAAATGTTACTAATATTCAAGAGACGTGAAATATTAAAACAACAACAATAGTCAGGAAAACCATGGCGATGGGTTAAATCTCCTTTATATTTCTGTTACTGTTGTAGGGGGTGTCCGAGCCAAAAAAATGGGCCCCATCAACGCTTGGTGGATCACTGGTTTTGATGGAGGGGAGAAAGCTTTAATTGGCTTCACCACAGGTAAGGTCAATTTGGCAGAGATTAATTCTCAGAAGTGTCCATTGTGTTTCTCTTACATGCTGGGTTCAGAGGGCATTAAGATGCAATCAGGTATAAAAAAACGAGTCTGGTTGAACCAAAGTATTCCTTTACATTCTGTTGCCCTTCCCCAATGCACATTCCACACTGAGGTCATTTTAAATGCTATATATTAGAAACCACAAGTCTCCCCAATTCATGATGGTTTTGCCACACTGCACTTGTTTCATCTGATGAAGGTATAGTACAGTGGTGGGTTTCAAAAATTGTTCGAACCTACTCTGTGGGTGTGGCCTCCTTTGTGGGAGTGGCTTGCCACCCATGTGACCG